GGAGTAATGCAAGATACTTAATTTTGCCATATGTAAGATCATTTCTATCATACACAATATTTAATGGCACATTTGGCTCTTGAAAAAGGTCATGTTTAAAAGTACCAGTTTTTGTATATTTGCATGTATCTATGCACCTTGTTCGTATGTAATTCTAGTCTAGATTTAACATAAGTCTAAACTCGTACATTTTTCAGTTCTTGTGTATCTATTATATGCTTAGTGTCAAATTATATATTTACAACAATACGAATGTTCGAATGTGCTAAAGAGCGTATTAAATTTGTGGGACAGATAAATTAACCGGTTGAACTTGCAAATGGTCAGATAAGAAACTCGCTTGTTGGGTAAAACCTTCCTCCCGGTAGCTCGAGTACAAATTGACTGCACAACTCTAAATAAAGTCAAAATGCTTTTATTCTCTCTCACAAAAGACAACACACATTTGCTTCGGAGGTCGACAGATAGACAGGCACGACATAAATGAAATGAAGTGAGAGGAGAACAAGGAGTTAGTTAAGAAGAAGCGAATCACGATTTGCCTGCGTAAACTGGGTAGCAGGAGGACTCATCCAGCTAATGGCTTTTCTCCCATTTTTATCACGAAAAGGGATCGGAAGACAAAAAACACTTGGATCCTCTCGTTACATAACGTAAGGTAAGTGTGATACTAATGGACAACAGGGCTGAAAAAACTAGATGCAGGCAGAGTAGAAGAAAAGTGCTTATCTGCTTCATTTCACTAGAAATGGAAATCATTTTATTTGTGTTCCTCCTTCGCCCTTATCTATCGACATTCTTTTCACGCACCACTATCCAAACAAGCATTTAAACAATTCTTCCTTCTGCACCTCTTAAAACAAGACTCTAATAAACACTATCCATGATTGTTACTCGTTTGCACGAGATAAAAATCTGGGTGGTGGATTTTTCAAGGAGATTATGAAAATATGCATTTTCAAGAAGATTTTATTACTCGTTTTAATGCAGGTTTAGTATTAGTAAAAACATTACAGACCCAGATTTTTATTACATTGACGATAAAGTTATAAATCCTTCAGTTATTCATGACAGTATATGCAGCAAATATATATTGTGAAAAAGTGTTAACAATATGATTAATTTATGGCTGGATTATAAGATTTATTCTGAAAACATTTAAAATAGAATACGAATTGAAGCTATGTTCGACTATCTACTTACTATTTAGCTCTATCCATCTGGAGTAGTCTACTAATTCATTGTCATAATTAATTACAACTCATTGTTATGATTTTGTCTTACAATGCATACATATCTGTAAGTACATCTACTACGAAACGAAACACCGGAAAAGATTGAAGCATCTTTTTTAACGTGTGCACTTTTTCAGTCTTGATAATCAGATTTCTGTCCAGACGTTGCTTGAGACTGTAAGTAAGTAGGCATCCAATAAAAAATGAATTAATTTCCTAAACTATAATGAGACAGATCCTTTTGTCTTGTTCTGCTCAAGCGTTTGTGATTACTTTCTGGACCAATAAGAGACATGATTAAGTAGCATATATATAGTTTATAACCACATTATACATACAATATATACAGTTCCAGTATAACTTAACTGTACCTTTTTAACAACTTCTGAAATACTTAATTGTGGTAGACTTTAAGAAACATCCTGAAAGCTTGCTATATTAAGTAATAATTTATTTAGTAGGTGGGTACTATTTGTAAGAATTGAAATTCCGTATTGTTTCATAATGTCAGGTTGGATATCATTTTCAAAGATTTATGTACAGATTTGCATGTACTTAACAGTATTGGTGTGAAAACGACAAGTCGGCAAAAATTTGCGGTTATTTAAATTGGATTTTTTTAATTACTTCGAAAAGATTCTGCGGTTCAAGAATAATTCTTGTGCCTCTTAGCAGAACGTTGATAATCTATACTTTGCATAGGGTATGCAGTGCTTCTCTAATCGAGGTTTGAAAACTCGAAGGTGAATAACGTTTATAACTGGATTCGACCACAATATTTCATCCGCCATGGCTCATGCATTTACTGATAAATTGATGCTAACGTGTATCGATGATTCAAAATTGCATCGAAATCACCGTTTTCAAAATTTAATTTAATTTAATTTAATGTTAATTTAACGGCACATTGTTGAAAATTCAATTTGTTCATGCTTAGTAATGGTCCAGGTAGGTTAGTCGTTTTCAGTTTTTGTAGGATCATCTGTATTATGTACGTATGTATGTAATACTCACCTTTTTTGTCATATACGTGTACGTATGTATGTCTATAACTGTTCACAATTGTAATTACTTCCCACCCATCCTATAGCTACCAGAACCTGGCGCATATCAACTATAAATAGTTGATACGTACTCGCTGCTGGTTCTAAATTAGAATTCTTAATAATAACAACATGCTTAATTTGAAGTCCTGATATGCTAATCACAATAGTATTTCCATTTACCACAATTTGTGAAAATACATGTTTAGTTTCTCAAATTATTGTTTTTTTTATCAAAATTAATTTACGGCATTATGAGCACAAATTATTCCAACTTATTTTCAATCTCCCATCTTGGAGGTTAAAAATCGTGATTTTCGTCAATGTTAAAAGTGCAACAATGCATGTTCTGCACTTTCATGCACTGGGTTGCTGCATCATTACCTACATGCATCAATTTCAATCGGCGTCTAGGTGCAGCATAAAAACCGCCTGGTGCATTAATCCAGTTCCAGTAGCATTTAAGAAAACCATTGTAACACACGGTAATTGCTCGTGTAATTGTTTTAATGCATGGTGTAATTATGCACAATCTACCTGTCTCGAGAGGAACCTGGCGTAAAAACTTGGCCTATTTTAATTTAGTTAAAACGTGCTCACTGGGAGCTTAACCACTTCTATGAAAATCGGACTGCAACAATTATGTTTTTTACCCTCCAAATTTACTGTTTACCACTGGACTGATGACGACCACATATTTTGGACTGATCAAAATTTAATAAATTTATAGATATACTTATTTTTTTACAGACGTCTCAAAAGTGTTAAAATTCCGAGAGCTATGCACTTATTCAAATACATACATATGAACATAGTGCATGGACATGGTGCAAAATTCAGGAGCTGGATTGATAAGATTCATGAACAAACAAACACATCTTGGGAAAAACAACTGCCAGTTTTCTAAAAAGAATACGGATTTGTTATTTTTAAACATAAACCAAGATGCATGACATTCCTTCAACATGGACACCATCTTTGTTGTGTGAAGTACACACACTACTAACAAGTCATAGTTTTCAAAACGATAAAGAGTTGATTAATTCTAAATTCGGCGAAAATTGTGTAAAGGTGCAATAAATAATTTTTTATTTTACTTCAACGACCCGAAAGCTTCAAGTCCAACCTTTACGTTAAATCATTTCACTTAAATGAAAGGTCCATACATTTATCAGAAATATAAAAAAATCCATTAATTTGATTTTCCACATTAATATCTACTAATTAATAATTTTGTAATGTGGACTATTAACTTTAGTTTTGCACGTCACAATTTGTTGTGTTTGCGTGTTGGGGTTGTGAATCACAACCAGGCTTTTGTTGGGTTTTGGGCTGGTGACACCGTGACATCATGTTCATGAAGAAGATGGTTATCATCTTATCCACCCCCATTCACATTACCATCAATTGTTCATTGTTATTGGGAGCTGTTTTCGTTAACTATTATTAGATATTCGGTCCTTGTAGGTGGTCTATTACGAGAATATGTATTTAGCAACAATACATAAGTAGGTGGCTTGAGCAGTAGCTAAATATAATTTTGATCCCCGTTGCATTTACACTGAAAGTTTACTGTATACATAGTAAACACATAAGCATGTACAAGTGTACGTAAAGTATTGCATTATGACCATTTTCATTATCTTATCATCGTCAATTCATTTCAGTTTCATTGCCTATTACACTACAAGAAAAAATCAACTATATGCATCCTGAAATCGATTTTATTGTGGTCATTGTAACAGCTCTCATTTTCAGGCAGATGTGGTTTGGGCATGATTTTATGTAACGGCTCATTACTGCTGGATAACTCCAAATCAAAGTTCTAAAATGATAAATAATTTGACTGGACCAAACAATATAATGCAATTTATTGGTGTAAGTACCCACTGATACCAATTCGATTACAAAAATGATATTAAACGACGGAAACGTAATCTTACTTATTTGAAATTAGAAAAATCGGTGATGACGAGAAAGTAAATTAATTTAACGACCATTACTACGAGATTATTAAATGTTACATAGATAAGAGATTTCATCTGTAAATTATTTGTATGATTTAAATAAAGAAGACAATAGATGTTTATCTAATGTTGAAAACTAGATTTAAAAATAAAACAGTGCTCCTTGACCGACTCAAAAACTTTAATAATTCAAAGATGCAACGCCACGCTCTTCTCATAATCATAACATCTCACGACAACTTTAGATACTGAACCCATGACTGAGGACAATTACACCGAGTACTTATCCAGCATTTATGCTACTTATATTTAGGATTAGTACGAAGCGTTATACACAGTAGTAAATAAATGATACACCATCACGATCAAAACCAATGTTAAATACATGTTATCAATAGATGATTTCATGTCGTAAATTACGACTCGTAATCGTTTCATCTCAACAATAAATCAAATCAGCAAATATTATGGACGGACAGATGTGTACATTGCAGATTGTACATTGTACATTGGTAGATTGCATTCTAATAGATTGTTATTTATTTTCATAAGGTTCAATTAAAGTACAGCGTTAAACATGTCATCCCAAATATGGACCATAATATGTAAATACGTGCATATATTATTTAGCCTTAGTCCACAATATGTAGTAATTGAAAATGCATCACTAAAAGTTTGTAATAACAATGTTTGACATTAGCAGAATTTGCAAACGTGTGATTGATGTTAATAATTAAAGTAGAAGATGTAACAAATAAATGAATAATTAATATCACAATTTATTTCCATGTAACGTAAACGTCAGGATCGTGTTCTATAATTTCGTCAAGTTGATTTTGGCTTATTTCATTTTTTTGACATATTTTATCATAATTATTCCTACCGTTCAACATTTCATAGATTAAAGCGTATTTTTTTCTATGCTTTTCCCAGTGAGCTCTAAGTTCATCAAGACTTGTTCCAAAATCTATACTATTTCTATGTGGAGATCCATAAGTGTAAGGGATACCACAAATCGGCTCCAGTCCTTCGCTTACATCAAACAGTGGATATTTTTCAACTCTTCGGATAAGAGAGTGCACTAGGCCAAAGAGAACTAACCTCCTTTCGTCAATTACATTTAACACAGGTTGAAATTTTTCACCAGATGGTCTTTTAGTCAGTGTTCTAATTAAAGGTTCATCTAAGCCTTTGACCGGTGTTGTGGGATATGACGAATTTCTGGATTGTAAGGAGGATGAGAGAGAATGGTCGCTGTATTTTGAAGTGGAAAATTTGGAACTGTCCAGATTAATGATACGAAGTGCTGGTTGTGCAGCAACTTGCTTGAATCGAAGACATAGCTCCTTCATGGTGACTCCTCTTTTCATAAATACAAAACACTTGCATTTAATAACTCAAGTAAAATAAATAATGTGTTATTCTGTATTAAATATGTAGGTGGTGCATACCTTTTCATAGCTCCAAAAAACCTCATTACATCAACGAGATTCGGTTTTACCTGTAACAATACAACACGGATAAGCTCATAAATCTGTCAGATTGACTGGAAAGTAGAAGAGTTTGCTTATATGAGAGTAGTATATTTACTTAATGCCTAGACACTATACTTACGTGCTCGTTTTTCGCCACAAAGAAAAGGCACTCATTTTTAAAATTGTCATCACCTCGCACAAGTTTCTTATGAAAATTTGATGTTAAAGTGTACGAATTTCCGTACTGAAATGCCGAAACTAGCTTCACCACATTGTAGTAAAGTAGATTCTGAACACATGATTTGACCAGATTTATATGAACATCAGAAATGTGACCTATTTTGAATCCAAACCAAACACCAAATTTATATTATCCCCGATGACCCAGTTTAAAAAATAAGTCTTTTGATATATTCTATTTAGCCTTTGAAATCCTTACTTATTTGAGTTACATTACAAAATCCATCCACATATGGAATGATTTGCTGTGTCGTCAGGTCCCATTTCTCCACCGATCCAATATCAAGCACAAATACAGGTACATGATGGTTTTCAATTTTAGGCGGATCCTTAAGAACAGGAACCACTTTTAAGGCTAATAATCGAGAATCCTTAAAAATGTAGAAACATTCTCTATTTATATTATTTATTCCAAGTAAAATGGCTCGAAACATTTTCATCAATTCCTCTTCTGCTTCTGGAGTAATATTTGAGTTTCTTGATAAATATTCTAGAAAAATATGGATTAAGTTTTTCTCCAATTTTGAAAATTCTGAAAATTTTTACCTGTCTCCAATTCAAGAGTAAGGAAAAATTTGGCTAGTTTCACCAGCACAATTTCATATTGGACCGTCCTTGCCCATGCATCACACACAAAGCACGTGTTGAAATAGAATGCATTTCGTTCATATTTGTCACTCGGAATCTGAATAGGATAACCGATTATCTTTTTCCCGAGCACGTTTACCGTCATAGTTATCCTTTGCAGATGCGTTTTTGGTATAATGTAAGAGGACACTCCATCAAATATTTCTTTTGATATTGTTTCCGGCGGAAATTGATAAACGATCTTCGGTCCAGCAATATGATGAAACTCGGCCAGAAATATAGCTGCATTAAAAAAATTAAGCCGTACTTATTTTTAACTAGAAACTGGGAGCAAAAAGTTTGACATAATTTTTGTAGCACAAAATCTGACCTAATATTGGACCCTCGCGACCACATCCTTCAAAAAGTCCTTCCTCTTGATTATCTGTTGGTGGAAATGGTAATGATGCCATATTACCACTCGTATGTGGTGAATCTACAAGTAAACAATAGTGTTTAATGTTATAATTTATAAGTTATAAATTATAACTTATAAAGTAAACATAGCGAATAGGTCTACAAACTTAACAAAATGTGATTAATTCACAATTAAACGCTTACTTTTCTAGATAAAGTTAATTTTATCGAATATTGTTGTCCATTATTCAATTTTACAAAAATTATGACATTGAATGTGGTAATTCTAAAGTGCAGTGACAAATTTTCAGACGAATACTATTGCAGCAAAGTCAAACTTGTGGTTTGCCACCACTGCAGTGCCTGCGGAAGATTTAAATGAGGTAAATATTATTCTCGAACATCGTCTCCTCTCTCTCTCGTGCTGTCAACAAACGAGTCTTTCACTAAATTTCCTTCTCGTTTTATGTAATTTAACAAGAATTTTAACTAGACTATTTTACCCATTCTTTGAATAGCACTCTGAACGCATCTTTACCAATCCATTCAGAAGACTTGTTGAAAAACGTAACAGGATAAGAACGATACAAATCATTTGCTATGAATTTAGGAGGGGTGAGGATACATTTTCCTATTTCCTTATTTAGTTTGTAGCTATTGCAAATTTACTTCGCGAATTTATTGTTCTTGATTTGCATTGATTAATCATTTATTTTATAGGGGGACGATTGGGACGACACAGAGTTGATCAAGGCGTATGACAAAGCTGTGAAGAACTGGCGAAAATCAAAATCTTCGGAAGATGGTGGTTCTTCTGCTGCTGAGCCCACCAACAATGAGACGGCAGGTATCGGTCCTTGGGTTTCAGTTAAGAAAGAAGATGTAAATTCTGCCATGTTGGGAGTCAGTAGTTGGATTTTGGGTTCACCGTGTCGCGCAGTCTGGTCGCAGGATGGATTAGAATATGAAGCAAAAATTGTAGGGATTGTAGAACCTAATTGTACGATAAGATTTGTTGGTAAGAGTTATGGATGTTATAATAATGATGTAATTAATCAATTAGTATTTGTGGTGGAGTATAACCACTTATATTTTGTACTTACATATAGGATATGGAAACCAAGAGTCAAAAGATCTTGGTGACCTAAAAGAGACTTTTGGAAAGCGATCTCGAGACAGACAACGCCGTGAGGCACAAGCAGCAAATTCTCAGTATCTTACTGTCTCCGGGACGGTAAGACCAGGAATTGATGGGGAAGATTATTTTTCCAGCGTTAGTTTGACATCATCCATGTGTAACAACTGCCCATCAATTGCTAATGGAGGTCATGGTGATGACGATCAGTTGACCACGACCACCGATTTCAGTGGGATTGGTGGTGGACAACGCGAATCAGTCTCTTCGTCAGTGTTTCAGTCACCCCGTAGGAAAGGATCTCCTGGGAATAAGAGGAAGCGTGATGCAGCAGATGCAATGAGTGTTGATGTAGATCCAGATACGCAAGGTTTAGAGTCTGGAAGAGTAGAAGACGCCCTTCCATCAGGGGCTGAAGCAACATTGGGCTCATCGTCATCGTCTTCAAACATCTCAGAAGATGACAATGAAGATGGCGATGATGAGGCAACGTCGGCTCCAGGAGGGTTTGGAGAAGCATTTAAAGTTGGATTCCCATCAATGGTTCCCCAGTTTCCAGTTCCTCCCATGCCCATGAGTTTGGCTGATGCTAAAGGAAAATTTAATTTTGGACGAGGCCAGCTTCCATCGTTATTGTTATCGTGGTATATGAGTGGGTATCATTCAGGATATTTTGATGCTCAGCAGGCGAAAAAATCTCTTGGAAAAGAAGAACCATCAAAATCTCGTAACAATAAGAGACAACAATAAGTTTTTTTTTCAGATTCTGAATATATTAACACATATATAGATTGGGATTTCCATCAGCATCGAGTTGATAGACTTACTGTCGAAAATTATGTATTTTTTCCATAATTGCTGCTAACATGTTTGTTTAAATTTTGACCATGAAAAAGTACAAGTGATTGTCCAGTCGTACCTGCAATATTGTTAGTTAGTAACATCTTGCAAATGCGTCTGATATAATTCTATAAAAAGTACAGCTTTAAAATAATAACATATTATTGCACTTTCTTTAAAGCATTGCAAATGAATAACACGTTAAGATTTGATTCTGTATTCTGTACCGTGATAGTTATGTAAATTTTGAGGATCTAACAAAAATTTTAATAAACGGCGTCTTAAATCGTAAATGTCACTGATGAAACAGTGGTGATTCAAATGTAATTATTATATATATACGAATATACTAGATAGGACGAAGGAAAACTTAGTAATTATTCTACTCATCTCATTCAAATTACAAAGCGAACCGTTTGTGCGTAATGAAAGTGGCCATCTCCGGGCATTCGTGAGTACAACATAAACCAAAACGACTCATTCTCATGTGCTCCACCACCAACCAACGTATGTTTGCTTGCTTCACTCACACATGATCATCAGATTGTCATTGCTGCTAGATTGTTGTTGCTGGCTGGCTGATGCCTTCACGGTCGAAATAAACTTTCTGACTATTTTTTGAAGATTGACTAACAACAATTCAAATATTGGAGATAGGGTAAACACATTTTTTTGTATATTGCTGGCAAAGGCGACTGGGTCTAGCAAATAGCAGTAATTGTTTATTCAGTTATATATTCAGCCAGATCTGAATGACTCATCCAGATACTCATCTGCTACTACTTGAATGAATCGTTCATGGGATTTAGTTTAGTATCATAGATGATAAGGAAAGCTTTCACAGAGCTGTAAATAAATTGAATTCAAAGATTTCACCTAACATTTTCTTTTAATATTAGTTTATAACTTGCAATGGCAGAGGAAAATCGCCCAACGTCCGTGTCACAAACGATCGATGACGATGAGTGCGGTTCCTTCATCGTAGTACAGTAAGTTTAGCACGTCAGCTCTTTATTTTTTTTAGAAATATTGTTTTTGTTATTTGTTATTGTTTATGAGCAGCCGCTGGTCCAATGATCCTGCTGAAGTGGTTGGTGACAAGCAGCAAAAGTTGGATAAGTTGGATGAGCATCACCAGGAACAATTGGATGACGGTGAAGAAGGTGACGAACAGTTCAGCGACGCTGCAGCTGATCTTGGGTCCTCTGAAACTCTTGTCTCGCCAAACTTGATGATGAGCATTGAAGATCAGCAGCGTCAAGCAGGTGACGGCCCGAGTCATGAACCCGACCCGATTGAAAAAACTGCATCAACCACTGAGCCACCAATATCGTCACTGATGGCTGCAAGTCAAGAAGGTGCAATGATGATGCAAGACGACGAACGGTTCTCAATGACAAACTATTCGACGGTATCGAGCAACTCGGATCAGCAAGAGTTACAAGAGTTACAGGCGAAATTAACGCAAGTAATTTCTGATCATCGGTGTCTTTACGGTGAGAATTTTATTTATTTCAAAAAAATAAACTCCGTTCGACAACTAAAATGTGCATGGTATAGTTAGCCAATGATTGACAGTAAAAATAAATACATTGCCTCGTTCTCAGAGCTTCTGGAAAAACAAAACTTGGAACTGGAACAGCGGAAGATCACAATTGAAGAGTTGAAATTACTGGCAAATGAGAGTGTTTTGCGAGAAAAAGAGAAATCAGAAGTATCCCGCAAAATTGTTGAAAAGGTATAGTTTTCTCAGTTCAAACTTGATAAGTACATATGTTCGGAATAAATAAAATAACTCAATATATTATAAATGCATACAGATGACGGCAGAACGAGATCTTGCTATCCAAGAATTGCATGCCCGCATTGCAGCTTCTTCTGACTCTTCTGGATTCGAGGCTTTGGAGGTAAATTATGTTAACCTAGTTAACGCTATAGACTTTCGTCATAAGGATAAATCGTTAGGTCCAGTTGTAAAATCACTAATGTTTGATTATGTAGACATTGGAATCCCAACTTAAGCAAAGGGAGCAGATTTTGAAGCAAAATGACGAACAGATTAAAGAATTGTCAACTCGTTTGCATCAAGAAATTATCAGGCGTGAGGAATTGGCCCAGTTACTTCAGATGAAGGAGGATGAGGACAGAATTAAGAGGGATTCATTGTCCAGCTCGGATGAAGCTCTAGCTAAAAGTCTTAGTGAACGAGAGAGAATGGAGCAAATTCTGGAAGAAGCTATGAAATCAAAACGAGAATTACAACAAGAAACTGTAACTTTGAAACAACAACTTGAAATAACCACAGCTGATAACACTCGTTTGCAAACTATCTGTCAAAAGTTGGAAACCCGATTCGCAGAAGGCGATGCTGATAATCGGGAAATGCGGATTAAACTGGCTGCACTGGAAGCTGAAACAGAGCGCCAGGCGCGTGATATATATATATGCAAAAATAATAATAATAGATAGATACAAGTTGGTAACAGTGCATTCTTTATTGTTATTGTATGTATATAGATTGAGATGAATAACCAACAGATTTCTAAAACTGAAACTCTTGAAGACGAGAAATCTACGTTGCTTCAGGAATTACAAGGCGTAACTGAGATGCTTCAAGTTCGAACAACTGAGTTGCGTGAGATTCGAGAGCAAACTCACCAACAAGCAGGAGGCAACTCGTCGTAAGCAATTTTTGATTAGTATTTTAATACTCATTTACTTCACCCATTTATTATTTTGCCGACGTGTTGTGATTTGACTCGTTTTTTGTGTTACATATTTTTTTAATTTGCTTTATCGCGATGTTTATGCTAATGCCCAACGTAATGCAAAATATGTTTGTGTGTATGTGAAGAATGACTGGTTCTATTGCTGGGAATTTGTTTGGTGGAATTGGTGGATTGTTTAAAAAACCATCGAAACCCACCAACGCAACAGGAGCAAGATTCTACGGCATGAGGTACATACTTCATGGTTTCTTTCTTCAAGTTTTTTGTGTGTTTGTGCTTCGGAACCTGCCGTTGTACAGCATTTTTTTTGTTATGCATATGAAAATGAAGTATTTATTTTATGGATATGCAATATTTACTGGTTTTCTCATAGGGATGCAAACGATGACCCGAATGAGCCATTTCATGATGTGGGGGTGAGTATAAAATATACAAGTATCTGAACAAGGTTTAAATTATGTTTTTGAATTTCACGCACTTTAAATCATTACAGGCCCAAGCAACTCACGCAATTTCTCCAGGAAATCAGTGCCCAATTTGCCTTAAACGATTCGACAATCTTCAAAAATTGGAATACCATGCATCAAACTGCGGAGTCGAAAGCGCAATGAATACGGACCCCTTTGTTTTCCCATAAAAAGCACCATTGCTGAAACATGGATTTATTTATCCCAATATTTAGTGTTTGAGATCGTTAGATGCATTTTAACTTCGTTTCTCGTGTTTATATGTATGTATTGGTACAATTTGGATTTGTAGTTTGACTTCTTTCTACCCTCTTATTATAGATAGAAGTATTTGAAACAGTTTTAAGGGCTAATGTTTTCTAAAGCTTTGCAGTTTTATTTCAAGATTTCCATGCTTTAAATTTGAATTATTTGGATTATTTATTTCAGCCATTTTTTTGTGTACATAATTTTTCTGCAAACTATTCTTTTTTCTCTTCTGGACTGATGTGAATGTGATTACATATGCAACTTACAAAGTTTGTTATTCAATGTACAACTCCTTAGATTCCATAAGTACTAATTTTCAATATATCTTTGTTAGTTTTTTAGCTAACTAGGTGGTAACAAATCTATATGCAATTATTATACAACAAGTAGTTCCTTAGTATTTCATTTTTCAGTGCAATAATTACTTGTTGCAAGTAATGATGTATGGATATGTAATATATGGTGCCAACGACAAATCGCATTTCCGCAACGCGACAACGATTACGCAAAGTGACACCGAGAATTACAGTTACGCATATTCTTAATTAATGATTTATAGACGGTTTAAATTACAAGTTAGAATTATTGCCCATATTTTAATGAATTTATAACTAATAAATAAAGATTAATTAAATGATTCATTTTTGTGATTACCGTGATTTTTGAAAGCAACTGCTTCGCTCGAGCATTTTGACTTAGGTGAATGTCGAGAAACCGTAAAAGTAAATTCTAGCTAGTCTATCTGCCTATCATCTCATCAGATCTCAAACTCATAGAAAATGTGACTTTCTCTCATTCCAGTATTCAGTTCATTTCAGAGACTTGGAAGAAGAGAACGAAGCCGAGATATTGCCTAATTTGATACACCTCGACCAACACAAACGCACACACGGTGCAAAGAAACGCCTCATTAATATGGATTCCATTGTCCTTGTTGTTTATAAATAGCAGGAACGAGAAATCCCATACAAGTACATACAGAGTAACGCTCTCCATAAATAAAATATGCTTTCAATATCTGTAAAATTTCCAAGAAGGAAAATGTCAGATCTCGCAAATCTGATCATGCATAGTATTTTACAGGTGAAATTCAATTACGTAAAGTAGTAAATTTAGTGTAGTGAGTGACTCTGGGAGTACACATGAGCAGAGTTTTTGAAGTCGATTAACGAAGCAAAAGGGTATCATTATTGTGCCAACTTCTGATCGCAACACAAGTTGTGTTGTGATCATCTAAGCGACAAATTATCGCCAACATCAATATTGGTATCACTCTGGTGTGTACGTAAGTATGTAAAAAGATATTTGTGAAATTGTGCTGTGAAAAAATACTGTTTTTTTATCTCCGATATGTACAACTTTTTTCACTACTTTCGGGAAATCTTACACCTGAATTGGAATTGCCTTTCAATAGAAGCAGGATTCCAAAAACCTTTCAAATGCTTCCAGAAAGAAAAACTACATAGTGTCAAAAGTAAAGTGAGTTAGTCTTACTTCAATTGTTATGCAGAACTGCGCAAATAAATCTACACGAAGGAATCGTATAAATAAATTGGTTTATCTGGATTTTTTATTCAATTGTATTGGATTGACTAGAGTCAAAAGTCCTGCAAATTGTATGTAGGACTGAGTTTGACACACAATATGCATACTTATGTACCTTTGACTTTCATCCTGCGTCACTTTCACCATTTTGCTTCACTTCAATGCTCCATCCACAAGCTCGGCCCAGTTATCAATTGGTGCTCGTCGACTAAATTATATGGGATTGGTAATCGTTGTAGGAGTGGCGAATGCAAAATATAATCCATTAAGTAGTTCAGCATCTCGTAAAATCTAGAGCAATTAATTTCAGATTGACAAAAACGGGATGTGTATCAAGAAAATCCTCCTATGGGACGGCTCAGACAGATGTCAAAAGGAATATCAAAATGATACTTTCTCTGGTAAGACCTTAGTTTACCAATCTTGATAATTACTCATCACGCATTGGTTCATTTTCTACATTGAAATGCATGTCTAGGAGCAACCTATAGTTAGTTTTTTGTGTATTTCAGTATGGTTTTATTTTTTCAATCCAAATCTTAGGTTACCCACACCCATGTTTAATAGCATATTCCTCAGCAAGCCCATATCTTGAGAAAATAGAATTAAATTTCATTCCTTGTTCGGTTGTCGCATTTCATGATCCTTCTGGTGAAAGCTGCGGTGAGTGAACCTCAAAGCTGCTTAGGGTAGATTTATAATATGAACAAAGAGAACTTGCTAGATGGCCACGAACACCGAAAATGACTCGGACTTACAGCGATTATTTAAGTATCTCCAATGTTTCCTCGTAACCCGACCGGATTCTAGCTAATGATTTAACCAGATCATATATGTATGTGGTGATCATACATATGTATGCATTCCTATTTACTTTCACTATTAATTCGACTTGGTGAGTTGTTTCAAATATCATAATACACGCATTGGAGTTACCCAACAAGTGGTGCGCCACTTGGAAGAACAGGAATAAGGAACTTATGTAATTAGTTAATTACATTGAAGTATGCACTACCTCGAAAATAATGCCCAAAAATTTACAATAGACAGTCGCTTTTTCATTTAATTCAATTCGTGGCTCAAGATTTAAAAATACAAGTAAATTGTTTAATGCCCCTCAGCTCAACATTACGATTAGTGTTGCAGTTTTCCTGTTATTTGAAATGCAAAAACCTAAATTTCAAGGCTCAATTGAAATCATGACGAAAGAGGTGTTACTTCTCATATAGCCCGCTATTTTCCGTTGTCTTTTACATACAATATGTAATATCTACAATGTTATATCTGCAATCTAATAGAAAAATAAAATGGATTATGCTGTTATTATGTAGATTTATACATACTACTATTTGTAAGATGCACTATTTTTATAACATGCTTCATCCTTCGATGTGTTCAAATTCCAGCAGGTTTCTGTCCATCCGTGTGGGACAACTTTCTCTGCTGGCCTCCCACTCCTCCAGGTAACAAGAGCATAATCCAGTGCCCACAGCTAAACTGGAACGATGTTGGAAGTAAGTAATTATGATTGATTTCAACTGAAATTCATTTTAAACTAGTCTATAGCGGAAGTGTGTTCATGCAATTTGCATATTTTTTCTGTGCCATTTCATCGTTTAACTGTTCGTATACTTTATGTACATATTTATCTGTATATTATTTCTAGTGGAGAAAGCACAGAATTCCATAGTATTGTGATGCTCAATGGTATATGAAGCATATTGACGTTATTTATGTTCAAGATTCCATAAGACATACAAAAGACATCGTAAATTACAGTATCGCTCCGTAAATGTACAGCTTATTTATGTACGTAGAAAATACAGAATTCCAAAAATCAAGTTGACCTTCTCCAGCGTTGCCAATTCAATAAATCTCGATAAATTGGACATCATTATGTAGCATTCAATTTTCAAAAATGAAATTTCCCTAACGAAATTTGCTTGGAATTTGATCTTATGTACATTTTCGCTTTCATCTGTCATTAATGTATATAGAATTAGCATTTCGCTATTGCCTGGAAAACGGGTCATGGACTGGAGGCGATCAACAAAATCCTGACGCCGAGTGGACGACAAACAATTCTTGTCTAAATCCCTATGTCCAAGAATTCATGAAGAATATTCACGGATCACAGGTAAAAAAATCACATAAAGCTTTGTGTATTTTTTGTAGTTTCTCGTGACAGGATGCTATTTACAAAAAAACCTCGATATAGTCTGCTACAAAACTGAAAATCTGAAATTACAGCATAACGCTATGACTTTATTGCAGACGAAACCTGGAATTTACGAAGCCAATCGCACTCTGGAAATAATTGGATTGACATTTTCAATATTTTCACTTCTGATGTCCCAAATATTTTTTCATGGATTCAGGCATGTTTGGCTAAACTGTTTTGTTGATTTGATATTTATTTGATGTTTTATACCAACTTTATTTTATTCAAGTAGCTAAATAGAAATAGATTCAGTAATAGGTTCGAACGTAACCAACTTGTCGATTCTTTAGAAACTTTGAACTAAATTTGGTCTCGTCAACAAATAAATAATAGGTCTAATTAAGTAAAGGTGGACTATTAACATGGCGGGGTGTCTATGTCCAATTCTATTAAAGAACATGTTAAATTTTCTACTTATTTATATAGGAATTTGCAAAACAACCGAACCATGATTCATAAAAACCTGTTTGTTGCGGTGAGCATTCAAGTAATTGTGCAACTTATTCAGCATTTTGACAAAATCTACACTTCCGATGTGTACATACTAGAGACGATGGTAAGTAAACAAAATTTACGCATAATTGTAATTCTATTTCCCTGTACGTTACTGTACCCAGTAACATTACAGATATTATGAAATTATGCTGCTTACTAAATATGAACTAAGCAGCTTATAAACCACGTGTACTCATACGTAAATCATCATTCTAGATTACTTAATTACCAATTATCAAGTAACTGTTGATTATAACTATTGATTTGATTAAATATGATCTGTGGTACCCTGAAACTATACTTACATGTTTGGTACGGATTGCAAATCAATCTAATCAAAAACAAACACATACTACAGAATATAATGTTAGATAGATGGAATGGATTTAATTGGAGTTTTAGTAACCATTAGGAGTAACCATTATTGAAGATTTTTCTGCCATAGTTTTCTATATACTAGTATGTATGCATCAATTCTCACGCTTGGTCTTTCACGCTTCGGGGATAAATACATTACATGCTTATGCATGTATACATCAATGTATGTATGTATGTCCCTCAGTGAAAGTGAAACACGATTAAGGATCTGCAGCAAATTTCGAAAGTCTAGCGGCTGCGATTTTGATAGATATTAGCTTTCACTTTCTCAGTAAGCTCGATCCTGACCAGCATACCTGTTGATGATGATAATGATGATCCTGCTTACGGATTCAGTACAGCGGTCCCCACGAAACATTCACACCATATCTACCTACATTCGGGACACATATTGGCATATCTTAAATCATAGAAGCTCTCCTTCATATTTTCGTTTAGATTGTGAAATTTAATACTTATCAAGATGAATGTCTCACGTACTTGAGTGCTTAAATATCCAGCACGCACGCTATATGTATATGCACATGACATGTAATCTTTTAAAAACATAACAATGATAAATTTTTTTTTCTTGATGCAACTTTTGAATAATTTAGAAATACGCATGTGAAACGGCGTATGTTTTGATGGAATACGTTCAAACTGCAATATTCCTCTGGATGTTCATTGAAGTACTTCACCTTCACAAACTGATAACAGTCACAGCTTTCCAAGAGTTTCTCACTATAAAGTAAGTACTGTAAAAGTGGAGTTTCGTGAAATGTACATGAAACTTTGGAGTCCATTTTTTATAGTGGACAATATCTGTAGTCCTCGTTATACATGAGGAATTAGTTTGTGTAATCTCATTTCTTTTGCAGAATCTATTACATTTTGGGATGGGGATCTCCAATATTGCCAATAATAATATGGGGAGGGCTTACCTATCACTCGTCATATAACTTTGTTTGTTTCGCTGGGTACAATCTGTCTGGATTCTCTTGGACCCTGGTTCCACGCCAATTTGTATTCGGGGTAATTATTTTCCATTAATTCACACCTTCGTTCAAGTATATGAGCATAAACATATAATCTGCATAATGCATGTTTGGCTATTGGAGATGTTGCAATTAAAATGAAGTGGTAAACACATCATTTAATTTTAAATAACAAATCCTTGCCTAGCTAAATCTCCTCTTCCTTGCCAACATCATTCGAATACTGGGGACGAAGTTGAGCGACAGTAATTCTGCGCAAACAATCCAAGTTCGGTAACGAAACACCAACCTCAGTATAAAAAGTTGTAATAAAACTTTTGTTCATTCTGCTTGCCTAAGACTGAGCATGGTCAGTTAGCTATGAGTATTACATACGTTTTGATGCATCGTTTGTGTAAAATTATGTTTTCAATTAATGTCTCCCTTCATATTTTGCATTGTGTTTGCGAGAACATATAATGTGTTTCTGTAGGAAAGCAGTGAAAGCAGGAGTTGTCCTTGTTCCGCTGATGGGCATTGCAAACCTCGTCCAGTCGACTTACTGGCCATTGGAAATGAACATTATTCAGCTGGGCAATTTGTCCTACCTTGTCACCACGCTAATTTCATTCCAGGGGTTCTTTTGCTCCCTCATTTACTGCTTTCTTAATCGACAGGTGATTGAATACAACTCAATTTTGTACCCGATTATTACAGGCAGATTTATTATTACCATGTGATGTGTCAGCCATGCTAATTTTAGTTTATGCTAAAAACATTGTGCTCCAACTAACGATAAGCTCTTTATATTTTGTGACCAGGTAAAACAATCCTTGAAACGTTTTTTCAAGGACTGGAAAGCCCGGATTACTACTACTCGGCAGAATCCAAACGCCAGTCCGGACGCGTTTTTCGTTGTACCAAATCCGACTCCTTTTGGGGCAATGGTTGATTCTCCCGACCGCATCAGAAGAAATCAAAGATCCAGATCGGAGGAGTTGAGAAAGCATAAACAGCAGCGGACTTTCGGGGGCTCTGTGGGAAAGCGGAAGGTGAAAGTTGTTGGGGAAGGAGCAGGAGTCGACCCTTTCTTTGAGCACTGGAGCGATGTGGAACTGTCGGCACACAATAATGTCGATATTGAGCAAATTGAGATCCCACTCCAATATTTCGCACAAGGACCGAACACTGTGCACAGCAATATTGACACTGCATACTCAAAATTGGCAACTTCATCCCGAACAGCGCAATCCACAAGCATGGACGCCAGGATTTCCCACGTTGACCTCAATTCACCAGGATCATCAAGTAACAAAGCTTGTCAGAGAGGTCAGAGGGGGCAAGCTCAGGGACAAGTTAGAAGCATCTTGTCCAAAATTGATATCTCACGTCCTCAGTTGCCCCACAATGCTGATCAGCAGATCATGGAATAAGGGGCGAATTGGGAATCTCATCATCCAACTTTTCTCATTTCCAACAACATGTAGATGCGTAGAAGTTATACAGACAATTGTTTCAGTAGTATATATACCTCTATGTAGATTCAATATTACTACCTCAGATTTTGATAATCAGATCCTGAATCTGATTATAAACTTTCTCTGCAACCGCTTGTCAGTTATCTATTTTGGATGATTCTAAATGTTGCATCCTGCAAAATGCTTAAATATATTAGCAAAATCTGACTTGTTCGCTTACCTGATTATATTGTACAAATAAAATTCATAGTTGTGTTTATCATGACATTCTGCGAAGATGTTAGTAGCCGACTCTGATAGTCTAGTATTGTAATTACATATGCAACTCTCTATACATCTTAATGTGCATCTAAAATAAATGGAATAACTTGTTCAATCTCTGAAAATATTACCGTGATTACTTCTAAAATCAATTGCACATGTCGAAAACCATGATGAAAACAAATCTTGATATAAACACGCACAAATTTCATACTGCAACTAAGTACATAAGTACTTAACACGGCAGCAGGATAAGAAAACTTGAGAATCTGTAGATATGCTACAATACGATAATACTTACTACCTCAAAATTAACCTCAAATCCGAATAAATATCGATTGCGTTATTTAGAAAATAAAGTAGAAATAATTATTGTAAATGAGATTCAAATCAATTGGGTTAGTACAGGAATTTTGTCTCTTTATTACACACGAGTACTGATAATTTTCACATTTTTGTCCAAAGTCACATTATGGGAAGTTATGGGTGTACAAAATTTATTCAAATGTCCTCAACAATCGTCGAAATTTGGGACTGCGGATTCAGCCTTGTCACACTCTGTCATAAAAACTCCGGCAAAAGGGGAGTGGCGGATTCCGATGCTGAAGGCGGGTGGTTGACGCCAGACGCGGGGGGTGGACTCGTGCACGTTGTAGGAACCCGGTCCCGCATTGCAACTTTGACCCTTCAAGACCCTCCATCTTCCCTTGATGCTCACCTCCCCACCCTTGTTCTTGATAATATTTGGGCTTCCTAAACAGGGTGGAGACAAGTTAAAGTGGGCCTTAATTAGGATCAGGGTTCCTTCCCAACGATTATGTATTAAGTTGCATCCATACCAATGTCATATATGGGTCCTGGAGATCGGAAAACTTCATCATCAGTTTTTCCTTTCCCTTTGCTGTAAACCAACCAATTCAATATTTTTCAGACATATTTATAATCATGTTAACTAACTAGCAGACGCAAATAATAAACTATGAAAATGTGGAAGGTCTCACATGGTCACTTCGCCAGTAGTGTTCTTATCTGGAATATTTGGTCCAAGGCAGGGTGGAAGGAGGTAGATGGGACCGGGGGAGCATTTTCCTCTCTCAATGACTGGAGTTCGCCAGGCAAGTGAGTACTCTGGTGCCTTTCTCCGATTCACGTTGATTGCTGGAAGGTACTCAGCAGGCCCGGGTGTTTGAGTGTTGAAGGGTTCTGAAAGTATAAAAGTAATGAGCACGAGTTCTTTTTGCATGTCAAGCAAGAATGTGAAATACATGAGGAAGTTAGTATATTTCTTACCAATAACTTTGGTCCTAGACTTTAGCGATGCAGCCACTTGCGTGTCCGGTCCCTTGGCGGTCATCCCCTTGATGAATATTATTTAAATAGTAAAATTTCAGTAACGTTTTTTAGAACATCGATGCAATTTATGCACATTGTAGGTTAGGTTAATGTATGGCGAGTTTTGAGATAATGCAATAGTTCCCTGCATACCTTTGGAATGGCATAAATAGGTCCAGGTCCGTTTCCTTTCCGGATTAGGACCGACGGTAGCTTTAAGCCCAAAGAGTAGGCAGGATTTTGCTTCCGTGAAGGGTCATGACCCACCATCCCTAGAAAAACAATGTGTTTTCTTTTGAAATTGAAGCATTTTATATGGGAAGGTCAAAATGGCAGTAGTATCCGAAATACACATAACGTACAAGTTTACGGGTAGATTCTACATGCAAACATACCAATTGTGGGTGGCAGCATCACTCCCGCAGGTCCAGGCCCATTTTCCCAAAAACTAGAAAGTTGTTGTTGACGTTGTTCCACCGTTTTGTTCATGATGATGAAGGTTAATTGATTGTACTAATTGTTGGGATGTATTTTAGGGAGGGGGGACTATTTTTGAAACAGGAATTTGTGGGGAAAATGCCAATTGGAGATAGTTTTGAAGAGTCGGGCGAAGTTGTCTGTTTGTGAGTTTCTGAGAAATATTTTCTTTCGGGTCATGACTTTCTTTCTCTTTTGGGTATAAACGTCTAGTATCCGTTGCCATGAGAGCTACACTTTCATAATTTTATTAGCATTATAATTTTGGAATGCAGTTCAAAAGTCCACGTCGTGTGAATGTTTTTTTGCATAGTGAGGTAGAAATAAGCGGTATGGCTACTTTATTAAATAAATTGAAATTCGAGCAGATGGAAAACACGCCTGAGGTGATTCTATTTCATGTATCACCTGCTAAAGTGTAGTGTACACTTTCTTTCCCATATTTACGTATCGTAATTTCTGCATGTTTTGCTGACATTGACCCTTCTTCTTTGAACGCAACAAATGGCAGCTTGCATAAACTGTTGCAAAATCTTGTGTGCAGATACTTGCTATCATGTATGGAAATATGCTACGCACCATCAACCACACATATTAAACTAGAAAACCTGGCTATTACTAATACTAGTTTTCACGGTTTGTGTGCTCGACTCACACACACGCGTCGTCCGACCTATTGCCCTTTCTCGTAAAATGAAATGAAACCTTCTTGTAGCGTGTGGTTGCATTTTTTGCAATGTCATCGTCTTAATAATCCAGAATTGGCCGTCTGGCAGATGGTACATGCGTGGTAGACACACTTACAAATACGTAGATTGTAGACCTAATGAACAATATTGGTAAAGTCAAAAGAATTACCCAATGGGTATGTTTCCCTGCTGATTTGAGTATACAAAGTTGTGTGTCAACTGGAGCGACGGTGGCGCACATACCCATCTGTGTATTATTTAGTTGCTAGGTGAGAAGTGGTGGCGCTCGGGTGCAACACCTACCAGTGTATTATTAGTTGGTGAATGTGCATAGACGGCGCTCATAGTGTGGCTACTATCGCTCGTCCAGTACTTCTTCTAGATAGAATAGTATAGTTCTGTGGAATTACCGTACGAATTGTATATAATTTATGTTGTTGTTACAAACCTCTGTAGCCCCAAAATGACACGATCTGACTTTGAATTTTTATGAATGTATATTTGACACATGCTTCGACGGCATGATCAAGCCTTGTGTTTATCATATTTCATAATCTATCGAGATCTACTAAATAAACTCATTTTCACAGTACGATATGGTTAAGTTACATTCTTATTTAGTATAAAAGTTCTGGCATTTCAAGACCGATGGAATGCTTCGCACTTATCTACTCCAAAAGTGACTCAAATCTGTACATACTGTAAATATGAGCATTTCTCACTAGCAGTTACAATATACAGGCAAAAAATACATATGTAAGCATTTATTTATGCTAAAGGACAAGAGTCATGTCAGCACGTAGTCAATTTGTAGTATCGATTGCAATTTTTTCAGATTCAGCTACACTAGAGATTTGTCCTGTATTTGACGTCATCGTGCATCTTTTCTGTCAACTCGAGTCAACTCGAGTCAACCATTCAGCTAGTCAATCTTATAAGTTGTGTTTTATGGAGAAGACGATATACTGGTGACATGTACCCTGATATTAATTGTACTAACTCCATGAACACGATTTTCAAATTGTCGTGATACTTTTACGTTAGACTATAAATGAATGATGAATTATGTGTAACTCGGTTTAACTACATGTTTTTCTGTAGTCTCATTTTTTGCTGGTGTTTTCGTCTGATGAGTAAATTACAACATGGGTTGACCATCCTGGAGAATAATGCGTAGATATTGTGCTCATTTAGAATTAGTTTGTACAACTTTAAGTGCATATGAGCAAAAAGTTACCCCTGGCTTTGCTGGCCACCTAAACTGGTCGTAAATGGATTCATTATGCTTTTTGCAAAGAAATCTGCACATCTCAAATCCTCGCACTCGTTTACAATGCTCATTGCGACATTATTTGCCTATTGCCCGGTTGGGTTGTAAAGAGGAGATTGGAAATTTTTATCTTTGACCGAACTTGAATACATACTTCAACACACCAAGATACGAATATAATATAATAAAATGGTCCACGAATAATGGGGAGAAAATTACAAAGCTGCAGCAACATATACCATGGTAGGCACTAGTGAACCGCTCTTCTGGGTCAACCAGTATAGTGTATACATATATAGTCTTAGGAAACAATGAAGTCTGGAAGAAGGTTGTATGGGCAATTCTGAGAAAAGAGGGTTCAAACTCAAATCAAAGGTTTTTACATTTTCAAAGCTAAGCTATATTGCAGTATTGCTGCTATAATATGTACACGACTTGACAAATTTACGCATTCAATGAAGAGACATGTATAATACGAATTTTATGGTTATGTATAGGAATTTGCGAACTACGACCCTTGTGAATAGCGAGTGGTTTCTGCTATACAGAAGAGTGTAAAAATATTTTTACTTATGTTCTGAGACTTGGCACATAAAGATGGTTGTAAAATATTGTAAAGAACTGAACCTAAACAAAATCAAGTAAATCTCAATGAAAGACACGTTGAGGATAGCGTCTAGACGCACCATCCTGTTTTTGCTCGATTGGTCAACGGCATAAAATTCAAGATTACTTAAAACCGTCAGCGACAGTTAAGAATTTTTGGAGTCAGTAAAATTTTATTGTCAGACTTCTGTTCAGCGTTTGACAAAAGTACTGAGGAGGAGTCGAAGATCAAATCAACTAGAATTGTGACACTTTTGTAAGATCTTGAAATTGTAAAACTTGAACGCATGGTGAAAGGATGCGATCTGCCATATTTCTTATGACCAAGATGTGAATGCTACGCAATTTTAATCAAAAAGATTTAATGAAAGCATCTTTTGATAGTTGGATTGAGACCTTGATTGAAAATCCTGTATTTACCACCGCACTACTAGTAGCGACCTAGTAGCATGTTCACATGTCGTAAATGTGACTTTTAATTAGACTTACTTGCTTTTGATCATTCCATTTTTCAGCATGAAATGAATCATGTAAGCCGATTTAGGTTTCATCAAAAAGCGGATGAAGTGAAGAGAACGTGATGATGAACTAAGGACCAAAATGTAGCTGAGAGATGAGTAAACCTACAGAAAGTAAGTATCTGTTTTCCACGAAACATTTTCTGGTCAACCACTCGTATCCTTTTACCTTTGGTACCTGTATCCACACACGTATGTACGCGCAAATAATTAATATAAAAGTCAATAATAATACAAGTGCATTGAAGCACGCAGGATAATTTACTTTTCAAATTACAAGACATGCTTATCTACAGAAGGGCTACACATCTAATCCAAATCAGTACTCAGTTCTGCTCAAATTTAATCAAGGCTTTAATTACAAATGTACAGTCAGAAACCGCAATCCAACGAAAGACAAGCAAAAAATTAATCAACTTTTTATACCAAAATCTTATGCATTTCCCATCTGTCATACATATGTCGATATATCTGTACATAGATATATACAATGTCCATGTATCAGTATGCTATGCGTGCGTGCTTTATATTTTATCTAATGCTATGATGCGTGTACCGTAAATATGCTTTCCTGCAATTTTGGAAGTTTGAGAGGGTTCATCGGTGCAGGCAATCACAATTCGTTCTTGCACTTTATGCTCCATGTGTACCCGACAAATGTACATTGTACCCAGGACTTTTCTAATAGAAATTTATTTAAGTTCTGGGAAGTATTTGTCTGTTACTGACCGTTGAACAGGTACTTTTGTGTCAGCCTAAAAATATTTTCTATGCTTATGTATTATGTAGTAATTTGAAGTATCTATGTTTCCTACAAATAAATTATCAGGATTTTTATGTTGAAGTAATTAATAGTAACGCTCCTGATGTAGTAGATTAAATGAGTGGAACTGGAGCAAGCCAAAAACACGATGCAGTTTCATACAAGACTTGCACTACATTGGACTTATTGATGTATTAGATTTATTTTTTTTATTAATCTATTTGTGCCACACCAAGTTGAGAAAACGTATAAAATGATTTGTGTTAGAATAACATCTAAAATGTGCGTTTTTATAAATGTACATATATACTATGTCATATGTGTATATGTAAGTATTGGTATATAAAAAAACTGGTTTCCAACTGCCATCCAGTTTCCTACAAATAACTCTTCCAATTTCTGGATTCCGTCTCGAAAATGGACAAAGACAAAGCAGAATCAGAAAAAAAACCTACAGTGCAGACTCCATATAGCCCGAGTCAGGGACAGAGTCCCTGACTCCGTGAGTCCTAGCTGTTTCTAAATTTTTCTCCGAATTGACCGACATAATATTACCACTTTGAACTTCCACAGCTATATTTGCTATCAAGAAGTGGTTTTTAGCCTTCGTACCAAATTTCAGATGGAAAAATTAAACTTAAAAAATGGTATGGGTTACCCTCCAGGGTCACTCTGGTTAAAATTCGCTCACTTATAACTTCATATCCTTTCATGAGAAGCCATTAGGTATGACCTTGCCGGATTTAATGTTTTTAAAGTAATTTCTAAAAATCGGTATGGGTCACCCCATAGGGTCCCTCAAGATGAAAATTTTTCAAACTTAAAGTCATTTTTATCTATTAGGAGCCATTAGCAACCTCTGTACCCAATTTTAGCCTTCTACGACAATTTTGAAATTTGGTGCATAATACCCCACCCACTCCGATGACCCCCACTGGTCAACCACTTGACCGATTTCGCCCATCTTCGAACTCGTTTCCTAACTTTGTCCAATATGCATATGGTAAAAATTTCAAGTCAATCGGTTCAGCCGTTTTGGCTCTATCGTGCCGGACAGACGGACGGACGGACGGACGGACGGACATGACGGTTCCATAAGCCCTGACTCGGGCTAAAAATTAGCTGAAAAATTAAATTGACGTGTCATTTGAGTTGGAAGATCAGCAATAGAATTTAATTTGCCAGTTTAATTGATACATCATGGATGAACCACTATGGAACCCGACAGAGTTTCATCCACATCAAAGAAGAAAATTATAATCTTAACAAGCACCACATGATTAAGTTAAAAGCAGCGTAATAAAACGCCCAAATGTTCACTTGGATATTTTATTTTTCTCTGAAAATCGACCCTAAAATTTTAGGAGCTTACGGTATCGTCGTAAGTGCAGTATATCCATATGTATCAAATCATTAACTGGTAAACTAATCTAGAAAGGTTGAAAATATATCCAAAGCAAAAGACGGTGCTTCCTTCAAACAAGGTGAAGATGGACTCTGGTGTATGTCCTGAGCCCCCAAAACCAATAGGCATTCAACAACAATGGAGTTTTTGTACTTGACAAATACTTGGAATTGGACCACAGCGAATACTACACGGAAGGCCAAATTATTAACCTAAAATCAAGAAGCCCCATAAGCTAAAGCGATGAAGTGTTATTCAATTCAGGTAAAATTTTCCACTTTGGGTCCCTGCCTGACGCTCTTATTACTACCGGATCACCGAAACGAGCGACTGCATCCACAAGTAAGATGTGCAATGAATGAAACTTTTTCACAAAGGAGGAGAATCAATCGAAGGTCGGTTTTGGTTTCACTTATTACAAAAATTTACAAATGAATGGGAATGATTGTGAAGGAAGTACATGTTTTTCTGGTTCTGGAATTTACACTTTTGTCGGTTTGTATCATGGCCATTTATGACTTGTTGCTACATACACCTTGCTCCTTTCATGCAATGGACTCGTTGGAAAACACTCTTGTTAACATAAATTTCACTTTACCCTTCTCTCGCCTTATCATTTCACTAAGACATACCTGGCACTGCACCCTGATGTCATGTGCTGATCATGTGAACAGATTCGCTGGCTACAGTAAGTATCGCAGTAACCGACTGGTATAATGATGCAAGTTAAATCCTTGAGCATTTCTCCTGAATTATTGAAGGCCAGAGTTGGGTCTTTGTTGTGCGTCGTTAATAATAATAATAATAATAACGCAACTACTTGCTCAGTATCCAAAGTTTTGAAAACTCCTCAGAAGCTTACATAAAAATCCAACCGGATCATTGAAAAGTTTGTACTACTTAAGAGTCGTAGGCTACGGATCAATATATGTATGGATATGGCTATACACATACAGTTGTTAAACTGGTGTAAGTTAAAGTTATCTATAAAAAGAGGCTAA